TTTCAATCACTAAAAACAGCGGGACATTCTAAAACATTTAATGTGAAAACACTTAAAGTGCCTTTAAAACAGTGATATTAAAAGAACAAATTCAGAACACACCTTATTGACGATGCATGCTTTATGCAGACAAGCAAACTCGAAGACCTGGCGGGCAAAACATCCATAGAACTGCAGCACAAGCCAGTCAATTTTCCATCTGTTTCTAATCCAAAAATATTTAGATTATCTCTCAAAAGAATAAAACAAAGATATGTGAACAAAATGCAAGTACTGGCCATTAGCAATCCAATCACCCACCGAAATGTTTCAATCACTAAAAACAGCGGGACATTCTAAAACATTTAATGTGAAAACACTTAAAGTGCCTTTAAAACAGTTATATTAAAAGATCAAATTCAGTACACTCCTTATTGATGATGCGTGCTTTATACAGGCAAGCAAATGAACCTGGAACATAAACGCAATGCGTTAAATGGTTAAGCGTCTTCTTTATAATGGTTTTCTATGGGGAAATTTTAATATTAAACTTTGCACATGGCGTTTATATTCTGGGTTAATCTGCTTACCTGTACAAAGTCTGCATCATCAATAAGTTGTATTCTGAATTTGGCATTTAAATATCACTGTCTTACTACATTACTACTAAATGCAAACCTCATAAAAAATAACTGGCGGTCAGCGGAGGAAAGCATTGTTTTGCCCTCCATGTGGGCGTTCCTGTAAGGGTGTGACGTCACGTGAAAACTATCAATAGACTGCTGGAATCTCAGACTCTCCTTAAAATTAAAACTTAACAGCAAGTTGAAAATAAAAATAAAAGCTCAGAGCTCTGTGAAATCCATGGATTCCTCAAACTCACTGTGTATGTGCTGTATGTATGTATGTATATTTTAAAGCCGACATTATCAAACAATTAAATAACATCAACAGGCTGAACAAGCGAAGTTTTGTGGTGTAATGGCCATAAAAACATAGAGACAATTATTAATATTAATTGAATCTATTCCTGCAAGGATCTTACCATTTCTTGTTGCTCAGATTTTTCAAGAATGTTCTTTTCCTTCATTGAGCGCTGCATCGTCTCAGTGAAACTCGGGTCCACGACTAAAACATTCTGTCCACCGAGTGTAGAAAACTTACAGTCACTCTTCCTCGAGTCAGTCGTCATGCACACTTCATAATTATACCCGTGCGGCAGAGTTCCAGTGACTCCTGTGTCTGCGTAATGCGGTGGATAGTACGGGATAACAGGCAGATTGGACTGATATAGGAAGCTTGATTGTCTCCACCTGTAGATTTTAACTGATATTATGACAGCCACACAAGTAATAAATAGGAAAGAAACCGCAGCCAGAGCGAGAACTAAATAAAAGGTTAGACTCTCGTCATAAAGTTTTCCATGCGTAAAGTCTGTGAACTCCGAGAGCACTTCAGGAAAGCTATCAGCCACAGCCACGTTAATGGAGACCACAGCTGAGCGAGACGACTGACCGTTATCCTCTACAACAACAGTGAGTTTTTGTTTGACAGCATCTTTATCATTCACTTGTCGCACAGTTCTTATTTCTCCATTCTGTAAACCCACTTCAAACAGCGCTCTGTCTGTAGCTTTCTGTAGTTTATAGGAGAGCCAGGCATTCTGTCCAGAGTCCACATCAACAGCCACCACTTTAGTGACCAGATATCCAACATCTGCAGCACGAGGCACAATCTCAGCCACCACAGAAGCACCAGTCTGTACTGGATACAGAACCTGAGGAGCGTTGTCATTCTGATCTTGGATTATAATGTCCAACGTCACATTAGTGCTGAGGGGTGGAGAGCCTCCATCTTGCGCTTTCACACAAACACGAACACTTTTCATTTGCTCGTAGATCAAATGATTTAACTGCATGAATAGTGCCAGTATGTGAATCCACAGATACGAGAGAACTTAGCGGTGCACCACGCATGTCTTCATCCTTCAGGAAATAAGACATTTGCGCATTGGGACCCCAGTCAGCATCATTTGCTTTAACAGTCATTATAGTCAGACCAGGAGAATTATTTTCACTAACAAATGTTTTATATTCCTCGAACTCGAATACTGGCGGATTGTCATTCACATCAGATATTTTTACATTAAGCGTTTTGTTAGCGTGGCGCGCAGAAATTCCTTGGTCTGACACCAAGATCGTTATGTTATATTCAGCAAGACTTTCTCGATCAAGCATATCATCAGTAACTAAACTATAATAGTCCGTGAGAGATGACTCAATTTTAAACGGTATGTTTTGATTTATTGAGCACTGAACAAGGCCATTTTTACCAGAATCTGCGTCCTCTACGTTAATGACGGCTACAGTGGTTCCCACTGGGGAATTTTCAGGAAGGGTGTTTGAGAACGACATCAGCTGTATGGTTGGAGAATTGTCATTCTCATCAATTACATCTATGACAATTTTGCAGGTATCTGCCAGACCCCCTTTATCTCTCGCTTTAATATTTATTTGATACCTATTTTGAGATTCATAATCTAAATGATCAAGAAGTCTAATTTCACCCGTGTCTGTATTTATCTCAAAAAGCTCCCTTGCTTCTTTGCTTGCAACAGCAAAGGAATAGGAAACCTGGCCATTTACACCTTCGTCAGCATCAGCAGCACTAACAGTACCGATAACAGTACCAGCAGGTGAATTCTCTCTAACTTCAGTTTTAAATACTGACTGTTTACACACTGGAGCATTATCATTAACATCCAGAACAGTAACGTGAATTTTTACAGTGCCTGATTTCTGAGGTGACCCACCATCAGTTGCCTCAAGAACCAATTTAATCTCATCGCGTTCCTCTCGGTCTAGTTCTCGTTGTAAAACCATCTCAATGTATTTGTTGCCATCAGTCTGACTATGAACCTCCAGTTTAAAACTATCAGTTGGATGTAGTTTATAGCTCTGTATTCCATTTAGACCTACATCTGTATCTATTGCGCTATCCAAAGGAAACCTAGTTCCAGAAATTGCATTTTCACTTACTTCCAAATTAACATTTTCTTTCGGAAATAACGGAGCATTATCGTTTATATCTTGCACCTCAACTGTGACTCGATGGAGTTGGATAGGGTTTTCAACGATAAGATCAAAGCTGAAGCTGCAAGGCGTCGTTTGCTTACAGAGCTCCTCGCGATCAATCCTTTCTTTAACTACTAGAGTCCCTTTGTCTCTGCTCAGATCGACATATTGTCGTCCGCCCTTTGTAACGACGCGAGCTTTTCCAGATATGAGTCTACTTATCTCTATCCCCAGATCCTTGGCGATGTTTCCAACGAATGATCCCTCTGGCATTTCCTCTGTGATGGAATATCTCGCATTGCAATATATGACGTCCACTCCATAAAAGCAGAGAATGAAACACACAACCTGCCATTTTGAGTGTCTAGAAACCATCCATGGATTGTGTGCATTGCTCGATAACCTTAAGAAAGCCATCTTGATTAGATGCGTCGTTATACGAAGTTGGAACAAGTATGAATAAACATCATAATCCCAAATACAAAATAACGCATTTACGTTCTTTTCATCGGAAGAACACTGCGTATGCCCATCCTCAACAAACGCGTCAATAAGGGATGGACTGCTGAGCAAAAACAAGCTCAACTCAGATGTTAATCAACAGCGGCACTCAGAGCTTCAAAGTCGCAAATACAAGACCAACAGCCTTAATGCGACTGTTACAAGCCAAAGTGCAATATCAGTTCAGGCATTAATCAGTGCCAGGCAATAGCGGGAAAAAGCAAAAAAAACTAACAATTTCAGCACTATCGGAATGAACAGCACCCGACGATTTTAATCCAGAATACAATGTTAAAGAAGCTCCAACAACTGACTAAATTAAAGCTTCAGGAAATACACTTAAGAAAAGTCTAAAATCTCACTTGACATGTCTTGTTGAAATACTGACTTTAGTTTATATTATTATTATTATTATTATTATTATTATTATTATTAATTGTATTATTTTTTTTTTTTTAAATCTTTATTAAATAAATCTTTATAAAATAAATATTTAAAAATCTTTAAAAACTGTTAATTTATTCAGACAAAACTTATTATTTTTTTTTTAAATCTTTATTAAATAAATCTTTATAAAATAAATATTTAAAAATCTTTAAAAACTGTTAATTTATTCAGACAAAACGAAAACAATTTGATCAAATAAACTGGTTGATTGATTTTTTTGTTTTGTTTTTTTGTTTACCAGCTAGCATCATCAAGGAATAAGCCAGTCAACATCTTTACAGTTTTAACATAAAAGTAAGAAAATTACAGTTTTAACATAAAAGTAAGAAAGTAATCAAATTATCAAACATTTATCTTTTAATTCTTGTTTGAATAACATCAGCATGTTGTGCTTTGTGCCTGGTTGTACAAGTGAATGTATTTATGGTCAGTTGCCCGTACAGATTTCAAGGCTTTTTCAGTCTCTATTAGAAAATTAATTATTTAAATATGTACATCACAAGCATGCATCCCAGTTAATTTAGAACCAATAAGATTTTTTCTTACCTATAGAAGAATATACATTATTGGTTCACAGAGGAGAGCATGAAAGACAAAAATGAGATTAAACAAGTTAGGACTGTTTACATGAAATCTTTAAGGCATTAAAGTTAAAAAGCATGATATTATGGCCAGCCAAACAAACAAAAAATTAAATAAATAATAAATAAAAAAATATATAAATAATTCCCCCTTTTAAGGATACTGTATTTTAAAGATATTATTGTAAAAACAACAAATAAATAAATACATACATAAATAGATAAATAAATAATAATAAAAAATCAAATAAGCTTTACAGATCTTTGTTGGAAGTGGAATACTACAATATTATTACTAACATTCATGCTTGTTCAATAAGCCATAAACAATTATTTATTGCACATGCACCTGTGGAGCAGTCCTTAACATACTGGCAATTAAAGTCACAGTGATGGTAATGTCCATAATATAAGACACCTAAGACATTGCTACAGAGAGACAGAAAGAACAGCTTCATCCTTGCAGTGGCAAACCACACATAACCATGTCTCCCCATGTTTGAGAACTTGTATTGGGGGAAATATCTCACAGCAAGAACTGGCAAAACTAATTCAGTCCTTGGATGAGATTATCTGTAGTACTTAAAGCAGCTGGTGGACACACTCTATACTGACTGCACTTTTGATATTGACCCTCTTTGTGCTCAGGGACTGATTATTCCATTTCTGTTAGTCAGATGTCTGTGAAATTTGTTCAATTTATGTCTCATGGGGTTGAATCTTTTTTTATGTTCATACATGTTCTTTTGTCTTATATATTTCCAAAAAATAAGTCAGTTTATTTATTTATTTTTATTTTTATTTTTTCTGTGTCAATTTGTCATTTTTTCTGAAGTACTAGGACAAGCCAACAAAACCTAGGACCATTTTTTTTCTTTTCCATTTGTCATGTTGTTTCTTTATATGGCAAGTACTTGCTTGTGTGAAAGTTTGTTCTTTGAAAGCTTCGTTTTTAGATAGAAAAAGTTACAAATATCAAAAAGTCACAGTCAAATAATACGTTGAAAGCTACTAAATAACAGTGAATACATATTTTAAACAATTGTTTAAAAGATTTACAAAGATTTTTGGATAAATTGTCAGACTTCCTGACAATTAAAAGGGTGTGGGGTGGGGGGAATAAAATAAAATAATGGAGAGTGGGAAATTAAATGGGAAAAGAAACCTGAAATGACAATTACAATTCCATTTTATTACCTTATTTTAATATTATTAGTGTTGTGATGATTTTAATTATTATTTTTACAAGAATCATAGCAGTACGTCTTTCACTTTACAGATGAATTAATATGTATGTGTATTTTAAAACAGTTAAAAAGGCATTACAGAAAACCTCAAATATGTACAACTCTGACAGAAAATAATGAATGTGAGGCTAATGATACATAGATCAGAATTGCAATTTGTTTTTAAGAATATAAGAATCAGGACAGAATCACAAAAACAAATACACAAAGTGAAGCCAGTACTAAAGGAATGTATTAATTTACCAGAGTGGGGTAGCGGAGTCCTTCGCCAGTGGTGTCACTACATGTGTTTGTTGTTTTTTCGTCACAACACAAAGTTTGAGTGAAAGGAATTGTGTTTTCATTGTAAGACATGATGAACTTAAAGTCACTGGTGCGCGAGCCTGTGGTTAGATACGCGTCATAATTGTAAGAACTGCGGAGAGTTCCTGCTCCATCCACATCTGCATAATTGGGAGGGAGATAGGCGCTGGGAACAGCAACTGCTCCATCAAACAACAGTCTGGGCTTTCTCCTGTGACAAAACTTCACTGCCACGATCAATATGATGAACGTCATAACTTTAGCAGTTGATGCTAATCCAGATGCATCTTTGGCCTGAATTCCCATTTCATAATTTATTTCATTCTCATAATCAATTTCTCTGATCACAAGAATTTGTCCTGTTGTCTTATTAATAGAAAATATTTTCGCAGCTTTGTCTGATATTCTGCTGAATTCATACGTCATTTCCCCGTTTGGACCTTCATCAGCATCAGTGGCGTTCACTCTAATTATTTCTGTTCCTGAAGGTGTATTTTCAGCCAGGGTTACTTTATAAACAGACTCACTAAACACTGGGACATTATCATTAGCATCGAGAACAGTGATGTGTATGACAGCAGTGCCAGACCTCTGCGGTGAACCACCATCAGTGGCTGTGAGTATCATATCTATCTCCTTCTGCTGCTCACGATCCAACTCCTTTTCCAACACGAGTTCAGCGTATTTTCCTCCATCTGCAGTATCATGGACATTCAAAACAAAATGTTTATTTTTCTCCACTGAATAGCCATTAACAACATTTTGCCCTATATCCTTGTCATGCGCCTCATCCAAACGAAATCGCTGACCTTTATCTGCTGATTCTCCGATTTCAAAGTTAATACACTCATTCGGAAACCTTCTGCTGTTCACGATCCAACTCCTTTTCCAAAACAAGTTCAGCGTATTTCCCACCATCTGCGGTATCATGTACCGTCAAATCGAAATTTTCATTTTTCTCTAGTGAATAGCCCCTAACAGCGTTATGGCCAATATCTGAATCATGCGCCTCGTCTAACCGGAATCGTTTTCCTTTATCTGCTGATTCTCTGATTTCGAAGATAATACGTTCATTCGGAAATCGTGGTGCGTTGTCATTTATATCCTGAATTTGCAGAATTATACGATGGACTTCAAGAGGGTTTTCCAGGACGAGCTCATTACTGACAATACAGGACATTCGAGATCCACAAAGCTCCTCTCGGTCTATTGTCTCTGCCACGATTAAATCACCAGTATTCAGATTAATATCACAGTACCGTTTGCTGCTGTCCTCACTGTCTATCCGAGCCTTACGAGCAGATATTTTTTTTACATCCATCCTGAGATCCTTGGCTATATTTCCAATTACGTACTGGCGCTTTGTTTCTTCATCAATATTGTAGCTCAAATCAGCACAGAGGGCTCTCAAAGCAAAGAGAATGAGAGCAACAAAATACGTAAAGAAAGGGACTGAAAATAATCCGAGTTCCATTTTTGAAGAATTGATGTTGCAAATACTCAACAGTTAGTAATTCTTTGACGGATGATATTCCATTAATTCTGTTGGTGTCTACAGACTGTTACTCTATTTTGTGCGGCGTTTATTCCAACAGACAGAGCTCATATTGCATGCATTAAGTGTGGGAGGAGAGACACGTCAGTCTTGGTGAACAGCGACACTGTGAGTATTTTTTGATCATTGCATTATTTGAGCATTTTATGAAAGTCTTCAGGTGTCAACTAAATTAATGTGAAATGTATTCATGAGCTTATTATTGTGAAACAACTATTTCCTTCAGAATAAATTAAATTGGAAAGTAAGTGAAAAAAGGCATGTCTTCAGAGCTTCGTTACAGCAGTCAGTGTTTACTGGAGCTGTCCAGACCTGTGGTTCTGAAACCGAATGACCTCGCAGACAGATTAGGTGAGAAAATATTTAAGTAATTCTGAATTGATGTTAAATAAATGTGAAATCTATTTATATTCACTATTTTAAACAAACGTAGTTATTTAGTTTTAACGTAAATGCTGTGCACCATACTAGCAACATCTGGGGGGGGGGGGGGGGTAAAAACCAACGGAAA